AAGAAGTAAGCGTCTTCTGATTTCCTGGCTACAGTCTGCATCTGCAGTAATCTTTGCCCCTAGAAATACAACACATAGACTTTGTTAATTAACTTTCCACTTGTGCACACGTTACCATTTTTCCACACTGTGCAACCTTTATCATCAAGGTTAACTTTATATCCCTCTAAACACAAAATTGAGGCACTCACTAGACAATACTCAAAATTTGGTACAAACAAAACATCATTTAAACTTCTCCCCAAACTTGGGATAAATGCAGTCCCATGTAAATTACACTTGGCTAAAGTTCCATCAGCCAGTGTCACTTGATCAGTCTTAGGTTTGTGAGTATTGCTTAACAATGCTAAGTCATTTACACAATGCTCAGCACTGCCTGAGTCTAACAGCCAAGTTTTCTTGTCTACTCTTTTACTTTTACTCAATATATTTACACTTGAGTAAGCCTCTCCTCTTGAGTAGCCCAAACTTTTCCTCTGGCTGAAGCCTCGCATTCTTTCTTTCTTCTTCTCAGTGGACAGTCCTTGACCAAATGCTTTGTACATTCACATTAAAACACCTCCTTATGTAGTCCACTGCTGGATGCTTCTCAGTGTTGCATTCAACATTGTCCTTTGACTTTTCAAGGTCAGCAGACATTTCCTGGACAAATTCCAGATGCTTTTCTTGCTCTAGTAGCCTAGCTGACACATAGTCCAGAGTTAAATCCTCTTCAGGCACATTTTGCATTGAATACACAATATTGTCCCAGCTTTTGTTCAATGATGACAACAAAATAAATGCCTTATGTATCTCTGTAAAGATCATTTGTCTGTCCTGCAGGTCAACAAACAAATTTCTTAACTTTTGCAAATGCTCAGACACACTTTGTCCCATTTGCAACTTTAAATTATAGAGGTCAAAATAATTTAATTCCAGCTGTTTTCTATTCTTGATTTGCATGTTCTTCTACAGTGAGGGCATCGGTTTCCAGGTGGAAGGCAGTCCTGGTCAGGGTTGGCTTGATGCGCCTTCCTCTTGGCATGTTTCTCCCTCCATTTGTGCCTCTTTGAATTCTGCAGCACTGTTGGTCACAGCTGACCTCCAGTTAGAGCGCTTAATGGCCAGTGTTCTGTCGCCACTGGGTCCGAACAAAATGTCTTTATTCTACAGGAAGCACACTTTAAACCCAGTGGGAAGTCGGGGTGCCCGAAGAGAGATTGTTAGAGACTTCCAGAAGTAATGGGCTTTAGAGTCTTTAAAAGTACAACAAAGTCTTTATTAAGGAACAAATCTTCAAACAACTTCAAGGCTTTACTATTCAAGTCTTTAAGAGACCTGCACTAACTTGGTTTGACTGTACTATATCAGCATAAGGAAGAACTCTTTATAATCCCTCCCAGGCCGCTTTCTATCTATGCCTAGTCGGCGTGGGTGCTGCTACCGAAATCCACGTGCGTCTGGGTATCGAGCAGACCTTACCGGCTGAGGCTTGAAGATATAGCAGCTGGAGTTCCGTTGTTCTGTAATGCTGTCCTGTGGAAACTTCAGGGCTGTTTTTCCCCTCTGGTGCTGTGAGGCTGAGAGGCTGTGAGCTCTCAGCCAGAGCCTTCGGGACCTTTTCCTTCCGTTTCCCTGGAACTGGATAGTCAGTTTGGACCCCGGATGGTCACTGGATGGACCCCGGATTGCTGTTTCTATTTCCCCGGAAGGTTTGAGGAATGAAGCCTTTCCTACGGGACAAACTGATATGCGTCCTATAGGCTGGCTTCCTTGTGTGATTGCCTGAAAAATGGCCCCTTCCCTCCAAAAAACCCAGAGAGGCGCGGGACCAGGGATCCTAACTATTACAGATAGGTGGCTTCCTTTGACTGCATTTATAGGGCAAGCCAACTGTCAATAATAGTTAGGACCCACCGTTCACCCATCTTGTGGATTTTGTTACGAATGCCGCCATGCAGCTCAACGACCCACAGATGGGATTTCCAACTCTTTATGGGATTCCAAGGACGGACAGGCCCATCAAAGACCCTAAGAAACCTACAAAAGACAGTGGCACCAAGAGAAACATCGCTGTTAAGTCCACGGAGACCATCTCATCTCCAGCTGACCCCAAGAATGTCTTGTGCCCACTGCATGCAAAGCCTCACAGTTTGGCCGACTGCAGGGATTTTGCCAAGAAGCCTCACGCAGACAAGGTGGAGATCCTCAAGAAGTCCAGGATCTGCCGACAGGAGCTGCGGTGCAACTCCCCACCAGTCAAAGTCATGCAAAGAAAAGGTGAAGTGCGAGGTGTGCCAATCCGAAAAGCATTGCTCAGCCATGCATGACAAGGATCTCGTGCCCTCCAAGGTCAAGAGCGCGGCCACCAGTCAACGCTCCCCAGAAGATTCAGCTGGACCTTCATCGGGCACTGATGCACCTTCTGTGGCCTGCACACAGTTGTGCGGCAGCCCAAAGAAAACTAGGATTTGCCACCCCATTTGTTTGGCAGAGGTTTTTCCTGCCAGCAAGCCTTGGATGAAGAAGAAAATGTACATGGCCCTTGACAACCAAAGCGACAGTTCCCTGGCCACCCCTGACTTCTTCAAAATCTTTAAGGGGCAGGCAAAGACTATTGACTATTGTATTTCTACTTGTACAGGCAAACAACGAAGACAGGGCCGCATTGCATCTGGATTTATCATTTTGCCATGTGGCAAAGACATTCGTTTTGAGTTGCCTGACCTTATTGAGTGTGCATCCATCCCACGCAATAAGGATCAGATTGCTACCAGAGAGATGATGCAAGTGCATCCTCACCTAATAGGACTACAGGACCTCATTCCACCCTTTGAGCCGGGCATTGACATAGTCCTGCTCATCGGATTCAACTGCCCCAGCTTGATGAGCATCCGAGCTGAGAAGAGAGGTCCTCCTGGTGCACCTTTGGCACAGAAGACTCCTTTAGGATGGACCATACAGGGACCTGTATGTGTCGACAGAATGCATCCTCTGTCTTCTCTGTGTCCAGATCAGCCCAACACCCACAGCTGTGGCAGAGCCACCCTCATGCAAAGTTGCCTCAGACACATTTCTGTTTGCTGCCAAGGAGTTTCATTTGAGTTCTCTTCCATCTTCGACGTGTCCCAGGATGATGAGGACACAGCGCTCTCCCGAGATGAACAAGCATTCCTGAACATCATGAACTCCGAGGTCACTCTCAGCGAAGAAGGGAATTGGATCGCCCCTTTGCTCTTCAAAGCGCACTGGCCTACCCTGCCTCCCAACAGACAGGTAGCAGAAAAGAGACTGCAGTCTTTGAGACGCAAGATACAGTGTGATCCCAAGACCAAACAGCAAATCGTTCAGGCTCAAGATTTACACCAGCTGAGCATCCCACGCCAATTCACGGCCAGGAGCCCTTTACAGAGCTGGCACACCGGACTCCATGTCTTTTGCGACGCTTCGGAGAAAGCTATCACAGCTGTGGCTTATGCCAGATGCAAAGACTCTAGTTCTTGCACTTTAGGTTTTGCTACGGCCAAGACTAAGATTGCCCCATCTCACACCACTGTCCTTAGGTTAGGAAAACACCTTTTTCCTCACAGACTCGCAAACCTCATTAGGCGCACTTTAAACTAGGCCCACTGGGGGAGGGGGACAACAGCCTTGCGAACACTACTTTACCCACAATGTCAGGGAACCGCCAGAAGGCTAAACGGAGGGCTGCACAAACACAAAAAGGACCAAGTACCGAAAGCACAATAATCCCAACTAAACAGCTCAGGGGAAGATCTCAGGGGCTCACATGTCTTTACACTAATGCACAGAGCATGGGAAATAAACATGACGAACCCCAACTTTTAGCACAACACCACAAATATGATATCATAGGCATTACTGAAACCTGGTGGGATGACTCCTATCGTTGGAATGTAGACATCGAGGGCTATAACCTCTTTCACAGAAACCGAACAAAGGGGAGAGGAGGCGGAGTAGCCTTATATGTCAAAAACTCTCATGCTGCAGAAGAAATGCATGACAGCTATCCGGGAAACCAGCTTGAAAGCATCTGGATAAGAATCAAGGGAACTGGGACTCAAAAAGATCTTGTTGTAGGCGTCTACTACAGACCTCCAAGCCAGGAGGAAGAACTTGATGAAGTCTTCTGCCAACAGTTGACCAAACAGGCACAGAGAAGAGATGTAGTAGTCATGGGCGATTTCAACTATCCCGATATTTGCTGGAAAACAAACCCGGCCAAGAGTACAAAGTCCAACAAATTCCTCGCTTGCCTTGCAGACAATTTCATGGTCCAGAAGGTAGAAGAGGCAACAAGGGGATTGGCTACTCTTGATCTCATCCTAACAAATGCGAGGACCTGATTGATGCGGTTGAAGTGGTAGGATCCTTGGGGGCAAGTGACCATGTGCTCCTGCAATTTGAGATACAAAGAAAGGCCGAGGCTAAGACAAGTCAAACCCGCATTTTGAACTTTAGGAGAGCTGATTTCCAAAAAATGAAGGAAACACTGAGCAGCATTCCGTAGACACAGATACTAAAAGACAAGGGAGTTATGGATGGATGGGAGATTCTCAAGAGTGAAATACTCAAGGCGCAGTTGCAAACTGTGCCAACAAAAAGAAAAAATAGGACAAGTGAAAAGAAGCCAGAATGGATGTCCAAAGAACTTCTAACTGTGCTGAGACACAAAAGAGACATGCACAAGAAGTGGAAAAAGGGAGAAATCACCAAAGAAGAATTCAAACAAATAGCCAACACCTGTAGGGAAAAGGTCCGCAAGGCTAAAGTACAAAATGAGCTCAGGCTTGCCAGGGACATTAAAAACAATAAAAAGGGATTCTTTTCTTATGTCAGTAGAAAAAGGAAAAACAAGGAGGCGATAGGGCCTCTTCGAGGAGAAGATGGAGCAATGCTGACAGGGGATAGGGAAAAGGCAGAATTACTTAATACCTTCTTTGCCTCGGTCTTCTCACAAAAAGAAAGTCATCTTCAACCTCAGCAAGGCGGAGTGGATGAGGGATTTGAGGACATCCAACTCCTAATTGGGAAACAAGTCATACAGGAATACCTGGCCGCTCAAAATGAGTTCAAGTCCCCAGGGCCAGATCAACTACACCCAAGAGTATTGAAGGAACTAGCGGAAGTC